CGCTCAGGCCATTCCGAATATAATCCCCCTCCCTGAATATAAGCGCCTCCGTATATAACAGACCTGCCAACTCTCCCGACATAGCCAGGAGTCTCCCGGTATAGACCTGTGATCTCCCGGCAGTGAAAAATTTCTCCCAGTATTGGCAACTGGGAATTATCCTGATTTCTTGTCGATCTTATTGAATTTTATGAAGAAATATCAACACACAGCAAATAATTGAAATATTTATTTGTTAAAACACATCTTCATGTCATACTTTGAGTGCAAGATAGTGCCCAATTTAACATTAGTCAAGGGGCGTCTTGTGCTGCGAGTGTAGCTAGAGTTTGTAAGAACCACTAATCTGATCGACTGCTGAAATGAAAAAGGCTTTGATGGGTTTTCTTGCTCTAAGCAGCTAATTCTCCAGCCAAATTAAGTGTTTAAATAAGAATTCTCCCTATATATCAGTCGCTAAGGTTGGCAGGTCTGATATAAGCCCATGGACTTATTATTGGACAGGTATTTATTAACGCAGCAATTCCAACAGCTCAGATGAATGACGATAATTACCTTACAGTATTACAATATATGTTAACCAACTTGTTTTATTATGAGTTATATATACAGTACACTGTATATTTATATTTCTTTTCATTTATGGTATAGTTTACAGGCACAATAAATATATCATTACTAACATCAAATGTCATCCGTACATAAGCCCCCCCCCCCCCCCCATATATCAGCCCTCCCATCAAAAAATGCTTACGAACAAATATTAGCCCACAGCTTATATTTGGAGGTTTAGAGTAACAAAATACAAGGTAATATTTCGACTTTGTTTCAAAGTCATTGTCAAACATCACTTAATTTAATTACAAGCGTATTCACATCCTCTCAAGTGTTTCGAAATTGTGCTTATTACCTTGTATTTCGTTATAGATCTTTTTTAAATATCCTGAAGATGTAATTAATATCCAGAGTGTGTTTCATCTTATATTTTGTGAAATATATACACACAATTGCAAGACTGTTACAATTTACATAAAATATTAATTATTTTCCAGCTACTTGCGCTGTTGTTGAGATAATCATGAGACCTTAGATCTCATACAGTGACATTGTACTATAGTTATAAAATGACTTGTATGTGAGCCACTGAATATAACTATGATCTTAATGCACCCGATTTCAGACAAACTACTGCTGATATCCTTTGTTTAACCCTTTAAGTGGCAATGCACCCTAACCTGAAGTTCAGCCCCTAATTTGAAATAGGACCGGACACAAAACGTATCTAAACTGTGGGATTCCCGTCCATCTGGTGGATGGGAAATCTGATTGGTTGATCAGCATCATGAAGGATTTTGATTGGTTGCAAGTTTACATAAACAACAGTTTTAAAAATAGCTCGATCAAGGTGACAATTAATAATATAAAGGTCAAACGCATGTAACAAATTCCATTATTGATTTCTTTGAATTTCTTTTCTTTTATGCTTTATGGCAGAAAATAAATCAAACAAACAGTATTTTGAAAGGGCTTTATAAAAATCTTGGACGAATTTTGGACACACGACGCTGATCGATGAAAGAACAGCCAAACTAGTCATGTATTCGAAAGCTTGTTGTTGACAGCCAAGATGTTCTGCCAACTGGCTTCGCCGGCAAAAGTCTTATTTTTAATATCAGGTCCTACCGGCGTTGTTTTCTGAGCTACATCGCCTTCTTCGTGGTACGATTGAGAATTTTATTGTTGCTGTTGTTAGCCTATTAGAGTATATCCGCATCCAGCACGTTGAGACCTTGACAAAGCTTGGCAGTCAAGCCGTGCACAGAACTGACTAATTAAATCTTTGTTTTCTGTTCGGTTAAATAGAGAAACTGACTCTTAATTATATAAAAGTACCTTGAATTTTTAAGTTTAATTATATATATATATAAAGCAAAATGCACACTCTGCGGACATGTTCATGAGAATATAAATTTTTTGTGTAACGAAATCTACAACACTTGTCAATCATATTGCATGTTGTGTCTAAAAATAATATGGGCGTCCCACGGTCTATAGGCAGGTTTTGTGTCAGGCCCTATTTCAAATTAGGGCCTGTCAACTTCAGGTTAAATGCACCCTGATCACAGAATAGATAGCCCTGATGTGCCCTACTTTAGTATTTTACTCTGTCTAATGCCAGACGATTTTACTCGTCAAGTGGAGAGTCAGCTGCCACTCAATGGTTTAACATGTCTATTGTCTTACTTATTTTGAATTCACAATTTGCAGGTTTACTGACTGGTTTCGTTTTGGTTGTTTGTTCCATTTTGTTGCATGTTTTAGCACATGGCAGAAACATCTGGTAAGTTTAATCATAATTGCAAGCCAAGTGTATTTTTACAATTTTGCTTGCACAAACCCAGAAACATTAGTGTGCCCAGGACAAAATAATTATATACATATGTTTAGGGCCTTGGTGAATTTCCATACATGTCAGAAATTTTTGGTTCAGGAGCCGCTTTAGCATGCTGGCTTCAATAATCTACAGTAGCTTAACCATTTAAGTGCCAATGCACCTACTGTAGATTTGCCAAAATTTATTATTTTGGTCCAAATTTATTTCGGTAGAAAGACTGGGTTTAAACTATCTTTGGACTGGATACTTTTGGACTGTTCAGTGGAAAGCAAGTTAATTTTGGATTGTTCTGGAAAGCAAGTTAATTTTGGCTTGGAAATAAGTATGAAAGAAACAAATTATTTAATATCTTCACAACATTTACCGTTCAGAATTAATACATTGTGCTGATATTCATTTCATCATTTGTGTCATTCAGACTTATTTCCGAGTCAAAACTAAACTGAAGGTCATTGTACATACAGTATGTCCGACCCAAACTCAACGTCATCGGACATTTTGTCAGACGGCCCTGTAAAAGATATTTTAAGGCCTGCCAGCCAGGATTCGTAAGCCAGGATTAATACAGTAAGTTCAATTAACCCATTGAGTGCCGGCATGCACGGCTCTCTCCTTGACAAGTAAAATTGTCTGGCATTTGACATCTAGCTGGAGCAAAATAATAAAGTAGGGTGCAATGCAACTTAATGGGTTTAAAGTTGGAATTCTATAAACTTTTCATGACAAATATTTAGTTTTAAACCAGTATTTACTTATACATGTGTTGGTTGTTATTCAGAAATGGTGCTGAAAAGACCGGTTTGCTAATGCGTCCTCATAGGCAACTGCGCCTCCCCCCTTCAGAAAACCATGGAAATTCAGGCAAATGCTGGGATCAGGTTATTGCATTACAATCCTTCATAAAAATTCGAGCAAACTTTCAACTGCCCCCTGAAAAGGATCAGCCCCATACGCCTATGAGCGCCCTACTTATACATACATTTTTATTTTTTACTCATTCTAATGCCAGACAATTTTACACTCAAGGGAAGAGCACTTGTGGTCGATTGGTAATTTGGACTTAAATGTGAGCAAATGTTAGTTAAACTACTATGTACTGTTTAATAAACGAGCAGGAGTGTTTTATTTGGCTTTAGACCTAATAAAGTTTATTAAACGGCTTCAAACATGACTACAAATTCAATAGATATACTGGCTTATTAGTAATTTTTATATAAAGAATACTACCGAGGACACACAACTACAATAGATACTGCCTTATTAATATTTTTATGCAGGGTGTATAAAAAAATGTAAGGTTATGGCTAATTTGAATTTGAAAGGGTGCAAATTTTTTTATACACCCTGTATAAAGAATACTAATTAGGAGTGTTTTATCAGGTTTAGAGCCACTGCACGTGACATATTTGGTTGACATGATTTGCCAATATAAGCTTATGCATTATTAATAGTATTTCATAATTTTTCTCAATCTTAGTCAAGTTTCATAATTTTCCGTGACTTATACAGGTGTATGTAATAAAGTTTATAGCATATTTCCTTCAAATTTTATGTAAGAAATAAATAAGACTGGTATTCTGTGGTACAGTGGTATTCTAGTGCCGTGAATACCACGGTACCACAGAATATACCAGTCTTATTTATTTCTTATATAAAATTTGAAGGAAATATGCTATAGAAGAAAAAATATATCGATAGACTTTGAAGAAAAAATATATAATCTTTGAAGAAAAAATATATTCGATAGACTATACTAAAAAATATTAAGGAACCCGCGGCATATTATATACATTACAAAAGATATGGAACATGTAAATTTTTGCGGTATTCTGTGGTAGGAGGGGGGCAAGGGGGGATCTCGTCACGAAATCACGAAGATCATTTTTCGATTTCACGAGTCACGAAAAACAAAATTTCATTTTCACGATTTTTAGAAACACAGAAGCGTAACAAAGTCTGAAACCATTTAACGATTTTCTAGACAACAGAACTCGATGTTAACACAAACACATTTTACTGACTTTAACATTAGAGCCGTTTAAACGACTATGACGATCATTGCGAGGCATTACAAAACATTACGAGACACGAAGGAACCTCAAGAAACGAAGAAACGTCAAGAAAGACAACCGCGGGCAGCAAATTAATTCATTCCCCCCCCCCCGCCCATAATATTAAATTTGGGCCGAGTTTTAAACGTAAACATTCATAAGTTAGGGTAAAATATTGGTAAATTCAACACCCTAGCTAGCCTTTTTGTTCTTCACGATTCACGGCGCGCATATTAATCACGATTCACGGAATGGCCGTATTTCTTTAAATCACGAATCACGAAACACGAATAATTGCTAATCACGAGTCACGAAAATACCCTTGCCTTGTGGTACATACACCTGTAGTACTCATTTATACATATACATTGTAGAATGAAGATGAGACGTTCAAATGTGATCAAGACACTCAATTAAGGTATAATATCAACCCGTCAGAGGAAAAAACAATATTTACAGTAGCTCCACATGCAGTAGCTCCACATGTAGGTTTTAACTAAAGGGAGTCTCAAGTCGGTCTGAGCAGACCTTGTGTTAGCAATGAACATGTCGCGACAACCAGGTCGGCTGATCCCAATCGGCATCTGTCATTTACATTACGGTACAATGCAAGACCACTACCTACCAGAGGTCATTTCTCAACCGATTCGTTTTTCTCAACGTTTTTGACGTTGATGATCTTTATGTTTATCTATATGGAAATCTATATGTTTGTCTTGTAACAAGTCTCGTAATCTGTCGTCTCAAATATCGTGTTGTTATTGGATTTGTGTTCGTTGTATAGCATTAGTATAGTTCGTGGAACCGCTGTGAAATCAAGTCCAAATGATATGAAATCAATATGAAATTAAGATATGAAATCAAGTCCAAATGAATACTTGGAAATGGAATCAATATGCCGAACACAATAGCTACAGTATTTAGAGCACATGCCACAGGACTTCAAACAAATGCAAATGCAGGAATTTCAAACAAATGCAAATTCAATTCTCACAGCTTGGTGCCGGGTTACAAATATTGTGAACCTAAACAGTTATCTCCTTGTTATAGATATGACAGAGTGCCGTTCAAGTCACAAGATGTTTTTGACACAAAACATATCAGTTATAAAACACTTTAGGACAACTTGAGGTAAACTGAACATAAATTTGAACCGTCGAGACCAATTTGGTGCACAGGTGCAGAAATATCTTCTGAAGTGATTCATTTTGGTAAGTCTAATTTTATAGTTGTTGTATTATAAAAAAGATAAAGACTGACCACCAATATCTTCAAATCTTGATAGCTCAACGGCTATAGCGGTGTACTATAGACCATGCACTTAAAGTAGCGAGTTATATGTCCTGTACATTTAAAAGAAAAACTCACGACCAATCTCTGCAGGCTTGACTCATGAGATATGGCGGGTACTATAATCCAGAAGTTAAGAATTTAAGTCTCGAGTACTTACAAACGATAAGGGGTTATGGATAATAGCAGGCCTAATTGCCCAACAAGAACGCCAGATTTCTGATTTCTCGTTTATTTGTTTATTCATTTATACCCGCCACCTTGCTTTCACCATGATAATATTATTATATAGGCACAATTCGTTTACTCTACATACTGTAGTTCAAGGTAGGGAATCCGCAAGTTGGCTATAAGCCAATTACTGCGGACCCAATCAATATTATAGATACAAACAAGGTTACTAAATTACTGTAATGATAAATTCTAAAACGATAATACATTACACTTCGAATACAAGCACCACGACAATGACATTGGCAGATTTCGGAGAAACTTACACTTTACACAAGTAGTTTTATAACTACGCGGATCATCAACATTATAGCATGAGTACAAAGACGAAACATAATACTTGGACACTATTGACTTAAACGAAGAAAGAGTGTTTGTCTTCATCTTCAGTTCATCAACAAGTTATTTCGATATCCGACTAGTCCTACCGATACAGGATCGTTGATAGGTTGAAGTTTTACATTTCGGAACTATGAATCAGTGCTGTTGGCATAAATCATATCAACAAAAATATGATGCTTCAAGCGTTAAGCTTTCATATCAAAGACACAAAATCTATTCTGTTCCTTCGCGTTTGAGCAGAATGTGAAAATTGCTAGTATTTATTTGCATGCATGTGAACTTCAACATAATTCTTGACTATTTCGACGGCATTATTTTTTAATGCAATTAACTCGAACCAACCAGGAAATGCTATTTCATCAAATACATAAACTCAAAAGTACATTCAGTTTAATGAAATCCAATTTTATGATGAGATAGTTGCGTGTAACAAGCCTAACAAGAATACCGACTGCTTTATTCAAATATTGCATGTATCCCCTATAAAGTCATATTGAGAGCAGCAAGTTCACCTTGGAAAAAATGGAAGCTAACTTAGCATTGCCAACTAACTAAGTGATTGAAGAGCAACTGAAACACGCACATCAATTAACAATTTCGACACTATAATACCTTTTGTTTGTGGAAACACCTCGTAAATTTATTACTGCAAAGCTTTCGATCCTTTTGCCCGGATCTTCATCATTGCTAATAATATGTGACTTGTTCAATTCACACGCCCCTTTTTCTAAAAAGGGGAATATTACGCATGCGCACTTCTTTGCTGCGAAAAGTTGTCACGAGCTGTTTGCCGCACACTAGGAGTTTTTGTCACGAATGGCAGAAAATATCAAACATGTTTAAAGCCTGCAAATTAATGCCATTCATCGGACATTGTCCGGCCAAATTTTACATTTTGTCCGATCAAAGCCTTTTGTGACCGGACATGTGACCGACTGATTTAGGCTGGTCAAATCTCCAATCTCAAAAAAGTTTATTTAATTATAAGTGCATCCATCATAATAGTGCGATAGTTTATAAATGTATAGACTATAGAATAATGTAACAAATGTTGTATGGCAAATGCATTTTTAGCCAATCTGGGACATCTGATTTTCAAAATTTTCTGGGGGAGCATGCATGGATCCCCCTGATAGTGCTCCCCTAGTAGTGCCCTCTTTTGGAATCTGTATTTACCTTGGGATCAGACCCTTGATGCATGTTATAAAAATTAACTTTGTTATTTTTTAAGATTCTCAGTGCACTGAAATAATTTTTTTCTGTAAAATATAGCATTACATCTAGTTTGACAACTTGTTAGTGTCACAGTCACAGTGTTCGAGTGTCAATTAACTTAATTATTTGCAGAAAATTTTCAGTGTTCTCTTGCGGTCCCAGAAAGTAAAATATTTTTTCCACTCCTGTATAATTTACTGATGCATTAGGACTGGTAGGTATATATACACTCAGTTTTAGATGCATTCCACTGCGGACTAACATGACCAGGCAAAAAGCTTCGTGCTAGTTTTTTAAAAAAATATGAAACATTTTACTTTGTTTGTTGTCCGAGAAAAAGTGATAAATGTCCGACCAGTTTTTGGCTTGGCCAAACATTTGTCCTTCCAAGTAAAATCATGATTTGCAGACCTGTTTTGATATTTGTTGTTCACGACACGAGTGACAAAAATCTAGCATATTTTCCCCGCACACTAGGATTTTTGTCGCACGTAATTGGCCACGAACGACAAGTGTGCGTTTACACTAGTGTGTTCCAGGCTTAAGTTGTTACGACAAATACTCGTTCCTCTGTAGTCATTTGAACCATTCTTACTCGAACTGACGGTATAAGACGAATTTGTAATTTCACATTCTTCTGTTGCTGTTCGTTTTAGAAGCTATTATACCTTGTGTAAGTCGAGAAAATCAAAGTTAAAGTTTATGTACAGGTAAATCAAGGGAAATCTCTATTACATTTTAAGATACGACACGCTTATGGTTTTTCTTTGTGTTTTCCTCATGAATTATTAATGAGTTTTTTTAACGTCATTTAAAAAAGGATTTTTATTGATTGGTTATTGATGTGTATATTCGATGTGTACATACGAACAAAATCTGATAATTTGGATCTGCACAAACTGAAGCCATATAAAAAAAACACTAACGACTATATATTTTGGGCTATAATTTAGAAGTTCGTCAATAATATAACAAGAATGTCATCTCTTATACCATGGGGAAACGAAGAGGAACGGAACTATTGTTGTATGCGAAAAATTGTAAGTGATCTTATGAGTAAAGAATTGAGGAAAATATTTAAACAAGAGTGGAACAGCCGTTATCAGGCCAGGATGGGTGGATGGGATGACACCAACGCAAGTGGCAACCAGTTGTTTCATCTGGAAAAGAAATCACGATCAGTACCAAACAATTACCTGGCAAAATTTCAACACGGGGACACAAATCAGTGGGATTGTACTGTGCTTTTTTCTGCAATTCTTCACTCCAACTCAATTGGTCGGGCAAGACTTAATCCAACCATACAAAGCGAAGTCAACAATCTAAGAGAAATACGAAATGAGATTATGCATATTGCTGAAGGAAAACTCTCCAATTGTGACTTTCAAACCATGACTACTCGTGTTCAAAATGCATTTAACACCCTAGGACTTGCCGTCAATGAAATCAATAGGATTATAACTGAGAAAAACGTTTACACATCGTTTCAAGTTCTACCTGTAAAGCCATCTCATGAGGTTGTTTACCGATCTGAGAAAATAAAACAAGCAAGTCAAGATCTTCAAAAGCTGTCCAATGATAACAATGGGGAACTTACATATTTCTATATTTGTGGAAACCCCGGCAGCGGAAAATCTCAACTCGCCAGACAAGTTTGTGAGGATATTTACCAAGGAATAAATTGGCAAACGGAAACAACATTTTTCATGACATTAGACGGAAAAAGTTTAGATTCTCTTCTCTACTCGTATGAAGATTTTTGTCGTCGTCTTAACTGCAGTGAAAGTGTATTGAAAAATATTATAAATTCATCGAAGCCAAAAGATGAAAAAATCAAAGATTTAAGATCACAAATAACCACTAGGATTAAAATTGGAAGAGGTGGTGGGTTATAGTTGACAATGTGGAAAATCTCGCGAACATTGCCCCTTTATTGCCACAGATGGGTGACAGAGTTTGGAATAATGGCCAAATTATATTAACCACACAAAACAGAACTTCTGTCCCACCTGACAGTTTGTTCACTAAACATATTTCTATCAGTCTTGGAATGAATGACCAAGAATGTCGCCAGCTTCTGGCCTTATTATCAAGAACTGATGGAAATGATCCGTTGTTAGATGAAGTTGCAGAGAAGTTAGATCGCCAACCTTTGGCAATGGCCGCGGCGGCCGTGTACATGAGACAAGTCGTCGAGTCAAATCGTTGTCCTGATTTTTCGTGGGACGATTATTTAGGAAAGTTAGAAAAAAGGAAAAGAACACGGACAGAAGAATGCCTTCTCCAGACAAATTCAGCATATTCGTCTACCATGTCAACAGCTGTTTTTTTAGCTGTTCAAAAATGTGCAGAAAGTAGTTTCATTTTGAATCATACATTCCACTTTTTCTCGTTAATCTCTTTTCAGCTACTGCCACTCGATCTTATTGTCCAGTATATTCAGCAGAAAGATAAAGATCTAGATGTGGAAGATATCTCTCTTGCAATAAAACACTGTTCTTTGTTCCTTCCTGCTGAAAATGAAGGAAGTGATATCCGGCTTCATGGTGTTGTTCATGAAGCAATAAAATCATTTTCTCCCTCCAGTGTTGAAAGCCCAATTTATCACGTTGTAAAAGCTCTTTATTACTTCAAGGAAAGAGAAGATCAAATCAAACTGATTCCACATTTGAAAGCATTTTATACAGGAATTAAAAAAATATTTCCAGAACATGACGCATTAAATTCAATAAGTACAAGCTTTGAAAAAACTGAAATTTCCGAAATATACCTGTTTTTTGGCAGAACTTTGCGTTACTATTGCGATTTTGAACTCTCAAAGGAATTTCAAAATTCAAACCTTCAGATGTGGAATTGCTCAAAAGATGAAATTCTTGTATCGGATATATACGCCGAGCTGGGTTTATTACACAACGAGTTAGGTGAACTGACAGAAGCAAAACATTCTCAGCATTTGGCGCTAGAAATTAGAAAAGAAAAATTGGGTCAACACCATATTAAGGTTGCTGATTCATACAGGAACCTTGGCCAAGTGTGTTATGTTTCAGGTGAACTGAAAAAAGCAGAGGATTATTATAAACGGGCACTGGAAATTCAAAAAGAGCAATTGGGTCCGAATCATATTGATTTTGCTCAGACCTACAACAACCTTGGTGAACTATACCTAGATACATATCACCTGGGAAGAGCCAAGGATTATTACGAGCGTGCACTAGAAATTCAAAAAGTACAATTAGGTCCAAACCATGTTGATGTGAGTAAGACCTACAACAACCTTGGGGAAGTTTACCATGAAAAACGCGACCTGGAAAAAGCTATGAGTTATTATCAACTGTCACTCGAAAATAAAAAACAACAATTAGGTTCACACCATATTGAGGTTGCTGTTTCTTATGGCAACCTTGGTAGAGTGTATCAAGATAAAGGTGACCTAGGAAAAGCACTGGATTACTACGAACGTGCACTCGAAATTGAAAAAGGAAAATTAGGTCCAAGCCATTATAAAGTTTCCAATTGTTACTGCGACCTTGGTGAGTTGTATCGAGATAAAGGTGACATAAAAAAAGCTATGGATTATTATCAACGAGCGCTGGAAATTAAAAAACAGCAGTTAGGTCCAAACCATGACAGCGTTGCAGGGACTTACAGTCTCCTCGGTAGAACGTGTCGTGAGAATGGTGAAGTAGAAAAAGCAAAAGCTTATTTTGAATGGGCACATGAAATTCTAAGAGGGCAATTCGGTCTAAACCATCAATATGTTGCTGATTCTTACTGCAACCTTGGTGACGTGTATTATCAGAAAGGTAACCTCGGGAAAGCTAAGGATTATTATGAGCGGGCACTGGAAATTCGAAAACAACAACTAGGTTCAAACCATCTTGATGTTGCTGACGCAAACGACAACCTTGGTGAAGTATGCGAAGATGCAGGTGACCTGGAAAAAGCTAAGGATTATTATGAACGGGCGCTGGAAATTCGAAAAGAACAATTAGGTCCAAACCATGTTGCTGTTGCTGAGTCAAACGACAACCTTGGCGATGTGTATTGGAACAAAGGTGACCTTGAGAAAGCTAGGGATTACTATGAGCGGGCACTGGAAATTGAAAAAGAACAATTAGGTCCAAACCATGTTCATGTTGCTTACTCAAACGACAACCTTGGTGAAGTATGCCAAGATGCAGGTGACCTGGAAAAAGCTAAGGATTATTATGAACGGGCGCTGGAAATTCGAAAAGAACAATTAGGTCCAAACCATGTTGCCGTCGCTGACTCTTACATCGGCCTTGGCAATGTGTATCGGAACAAAGGTGACCTGGAGAAAGCTAGGGATTACTATGAGCGGGCGCTGGAAATTGTAAAAGAACAATTAGGTCCAAACCATGTTGATGTTGCTGACTCAAACGACAACCTTGGCGAAGTATGCCAATATGCAGGTGATCTGGAAAAAGCAAAGGATTACTATGAACGGGCACTGGAAATTCGAAAAGAACAATTAGGTGCAAACCATGTTGATGTTGTTAGGTCTTACAACACCCTTGGTGGATTGTGCAAACATGCAGGTGACCTGGAAAAAGCAAAGGATTACTATGAACGGGCACTGGAAATTCGAAAAGGACAATTAGGTCCAAACCATGTTGATGTTGCTGACTCAAACGACAACCTTGGCGAAGTATGCCAAAATGCAGGTGACCTGGAAAAAGCTAAGGGTTATTATGAACGGGCACTGGAAATTCGAAAAGAACAATTAGGTTCAAACCATGTTGATGTTGCTTACTCAAACGACAACCTTGGTCAAGTATGCCAAAATGCAGGTGACCTGGAAAAAGCTAGGGAGTATTATGAACGGGGGCTGGAAATTCGAAAAGAACAATTAGGTCCAAACCATGTTGCCGTCGCTGACTCTTACATCGGCCTTGGCAATGTGTATCGGAACAAAGGTGACCTGGAGAAAGCTAGGGATTACTATGAGCGGGCGCTGGAAATTGTAAAAGAACAATTAGGTCCAAACCATGTTGATGTTGCTGACTCAAACGACAACCTTGGCGAAGTATGCCAAAATGCAGGTGACCTGGAAAAAGCTAAGGGTTATTATGAACGGGCACTGGAAATTCGAAAAGAACAATTAGGTCCAAACCATGTTGATGTTGCTGACTCAAACGACAACCTTGGCGAAGTATGCCAATATGCAGGTGATCTGGAAAAAGCAAAGGATTACTATGAACGGGCACTGGAAATTCGAAAAGAACAATTAGGTCCAAACCATGTTGCCGTTGCTGACTCTTACATCTGCCTTGGCAATGTGTATCGGAACAAAGGTGACCTGGAGAAAGCTAGGGATTACTATGAGCGGGCACTGGAAATTCTAAAAGAACAATTAGGTCCAAACCATGTTGATGTTGCTGACTCAAACGACAACCTTGGTGAAGTATGCCAAGATGCAGGTGACCTGGAAAAAGCAAAGGATTACTATGAACGGGCACTGGAAATTCGAAAAGAACAATTTGGTGCTAACCATGTTGATGTTGTTAGGTCTTACAACACCCTTGGTGGATTGTGCAAACATGCAGGTGACCTGGAAAAAGCAAAGGATTACTATGAACGGGCACTGGAAATTCGAAAAGAACAATTAGGTCCAAACCATGTTGATGTTGCTGACTCAAACGACAACGTTGGTGAAGTATGCCAAGATGCAGGTGACCTGGAAAAAGCAAAGGATTACTATGAACGGGCACTGGAAATTCGAAAAGAACAATTAGGTCCAAACCATGTTGATGTTGCTGACTCAAACGACAACCTTGGCGAAGTATGCCAAAATGCAGGTGACCTGGAAAAAGCTAAGGGTTATTATGAACGGGCACTGGAAATTCGAAAAGAACAATTAGGTCCAAACCATGTTGATGTTGCCAACTCAAACGACAGACTTCGTAGATTGTGCGAAGGTGCAAGTGTCCTGGAAAAAGCTAAGGATGATGATGAGCAGGTACTCGAGATTCGAAAAGAACAATTAGGTGCCAGCCATGTTGATGTTGCCGACGACAAGCTTGGTGAAGTATGCCATGACACAGGTGAGCTGGAAAAGGGTAAGGATTATTGTGAACGGGCACTGGAATTTCGAAAAGAATAATTAGGTCCAAAACATATTGATGTTGCTGAGTGATAGAACAAGCTTGCTAACGTTTTTCGTAATACAGTTGATATGGAGAAAGCTAATTCAAATTCTAAACATTTTTTATAGTATTACACCGAAAATTTTCCCCCTTGCATGCAATCACGTTCAACTGTTGGAGTATTTTTATACATGTGTAAATGTCTCGAGTGTAAATGTTCTAGGCTACATAACCGGGAGCAGCTGTTTAAAAATGCAACTTAGAGAAGCGGCGAAATATCTCTGCCTATAATTGCATTTTTCACGACCGCTCCTGGTTAGGTCGAAACCGTTTATATTCAAGATTTTCCATTTGGAAAAAAAACTCTCTGAAATTTAGTTCTATCGAGTGAGGTGCTTAAAATCGTGGGCGTACATAAAGATTTATGAATTTACTTGTGAAAATCGTAAAAAATTCTAATAACTGGAGAAAATTTCTTGTATTTGTGATTTTTAATGTTACGCAATTTTTAATATTTGATACTGAAAATTTTCACCATGCTTGGAATTCCCTTTGCAAAACACTTTAAGTTCGCCGTGTATATAATTTTCCCTTGAGTGCTAAGTCCTAGCCGTTGTTTATATATCGGCAAGGTATTAGTAATAACATTTTGAAACTAAGTATTGCGATTATCAGAACCGCATATTCCTTTGGTTCGATGCTTTGATGTCTTTTTACCAAGTTTAAAAAAATTGTTTTAAATTAACATATTCAGATCTAAATACCAGCTTACTGCACGCCAACGTCTCTTTAAAATGCCCATTAAGTGATTTCAGCAAATTTACATTGTTACGTACTATTTCTAGCAAATACAGAAATCAAGCACGAACATGAAGAAACCAAACGGGAACATAATGATGCCCATGAAGATGAATGCTACAACTGGTTTAAAGATACTTTTCTGAACTCTAAACGCAAGCTGAAAAAAGAAATTTATGAAAAACTAAGAAGGTATATTTTATGTTATCAACTTTACGTACTATTTAAAACACGAGTGGCAGTGTTTTATTACGTATTAAAAACCCAACACGCAGTCGAGTGTCTTGTACTGATAAAACGCACTCTACGACAGGTTTAAAAGGCTTAAAAACAACCCATCGTATGAGTTCATTGGTGAAGTAATTTTAAAACTAAACGTTATCTTAGCCGAGAAAATCAAAGCTGAGGTTTATGTAAATGAACATGATTTTTTATCACATATAAAGCCACCGACACGACAGTGATTTCTTTTGTATTTTCCTCATGGATTATTAATGCTTTTTTTTCTAATATCATTTTACCAGTGTTCGTAGACATGATTTTTATATACTAAGATAAATAATATATATATATACTAGATAAGGAAAAGTCAGAAGTAATTCTGCAAATCATCGAAATGAATAAATGACGCGTTGAACCTGTTCCTGACGAGTCATTTTTCTATATTACAAGTTTTCTTAAACATTTCCATTTCAGATGTTCTGTTTTCTCGTCTTTATAGTAACCTTTGCTAAGTGTTCTATGCACGACAAGTATACAGTATTGTCCAAAAGCAAGCATATTAGAAATTGAGTTTTGAACAAGTGCATTTACATGTATCCACAGAAAAAATTGGCAAAGTACACATTTTTCCTGTCAAAGAACATTTGACAAAGTAATTTCAGCACTTGGATTCGGTTTGAACAGCGATATGTTGATGTAATAGCTATAATGGCGCCCAGAAAACCAAAAACAGTTTTTTTGTAGAAAATTTGCTTACTTTACATACATGCACTTGTGCAGACGGCTAATAAAACTTGCCATATGAAAACTTGTGTTAGAAAATTGACTTGCTCATCTGTAATCGGCTGTAGAGAGTAAATACCACATAGAAAGGCACTGTATTTTTATGAAAGAAAAATGAAAGATTAACTTGGCCGCTTACTTATAAAACATTTTTTATATAGTTTTCCATGGTTGTATGGAGCGTATGGGCTGACTTGTGCAAACAATAAAATTGACCGTCCACATATCTTCCTCACAGTTAAAAAAGACTGGAACAATGACGATGTACTACGTGACCTTAAGGAAAAATTTAACTGTGAGAACCCGAGAAAATATTTTGAGCTCCTTCAAGAACCTGACAGAAAACCGAAAGTCAAATTCTTGGGTCAACATCAGAACGGATCGTCAGTCGAGGCGGAGTCATCAATGCCTGTCTCATCCACCCAACCGGTGGCACCTGGTTGTGGTGTATTTTCTTGCACTAGTCGTAGTGATACCTTTCGAAACCCAATGCGAATCCCCGAGGAAAACGAAGATATCCCCAAAATCCAGGGAACTGGAACGTTAACCATATTTTGCTACAAAAATGGAAAACATTATGCACTTACCTGTTTTCATGTTGGTTGTGCAAATGATGAAAACCGTTTAAACGCTTCAATTAATAAAAAAGATAACATTTTAAAGATCCGCCATTCAGTTACGGACTATGCTACGTATGCCGAGAAACAGAACTATTGTTTTCAAGAATCTCCTGTAGAGGACAACAACGAATCTATCTCGTATGGTGACGATGGAAGCAAGTACAAATGCCTTGGTGATTTTGACAATTATCATTTTGATGATCAATGTGATATCATGTCCCTAAAAATTTCTGATGACATTGAAATTAATTGCAAAGTAGCGGATGTAACTCCTCCGGACTGGGATGAAACATGGAATGAACTGTATGAGAGGGTTAATGAAAACCCGGGTCAAAATCCAGTGGAAGTAAAGAAAGTCGGTTTTAAGTCGAATTTAACTCAAGGGCATATTTTTAAAACTGATTTTGCTTACGAAGGAGATGAAGGAGATGTTTCATTCTATGATGCAACCGTTGTTAAGGATTTAGAACATTCCGGTCCATTCTTGGAAGGCGGAGATTCAGGTTCTGCTGTTTTCTTTCATGACAGGGATAATCAGAAAAAGGTTTTTGCCTATGGTGTTTTTCAAATGGATGAGCTTCACTTACCAGAACAACACGAACCAAGGAACTCAACGGGGCCATACTATATTTGTTATAATTTGGAAACTGCTTTGGAAACACTCGGATTTAAGGAGGAAGCATGTTTTAGCGTTTGCACGCATGACCTGGAAAAAGCTAAGGATTGTAATGAGCGGACACTGGAAATTCAAAAAGAACAATTAGGTCCAAACCATGTTGATGTTGCTGACTCAAACGACAACCTTGGTGAAGTATGCCAAGATGCAGGTGACCTGGAAAAAGCTAAAAATTACTATGAACAGACACTGGAAATTCGAAAAGAACAATTTGGTCTAAGCCATGTTGATGTTGCTGACTCGTACAACAAGCTTGGTAAAGTATGCCAAGATGCAGGTGACCTGGGAAAAGCTAAGGTTTGTTATGAGCAGGCATTGGAAATTCGAAAAGACCAGTTAGGTCCAAACCATGTTGATGTTACCAACTCAAACGCCAACCTTGGTAGATTGTGCCAAGATGCAGGTGACCTGGAAATAGCTAAGGATTGTTAATTGTTATGAGCGGGCACTGGAAATTCGAAAAGAACAATTAGGTCGAAACCATGTTGATGTTGCAGGTGAACTGGAACATTCTGGGACTGGAGTTTTTTGTTGTCGCAACAACATATGTATAATTTCCTGATGCTGGTGAAATGAAATGTAACAAACAATCTCGGACGGTATTAATTTTTAAATAACCGAAAGAAAGCAAGAACATGCTGTCTTTATCTGAACATGTAAACACCCAGGTGGAATCAGGCGGTGTTCGGATTGGAATCGCAAAGCATTCTCGTCATAGCTTTTTTCGATATGATTAATAATATAACTGAGTTAATTTAACTGTTTCTCGTTTAACATTTTACTTTTTCTGCTGGCAACCTTAAAAAGATGGAACGATTGTTTGTGGTAGGATAGTATGTTTGTGTAACTGAAATAAGGTCAGGAATATAATCTCTTCAAATATTTGGCCCTGAATATACATCGGTGAATCTGCGTTATAATCTTTTTTTGAAACTCTTTGTGAGTAAGGCCATTTCGTTGTTTTTGGTATTATACTTGTTTAAATGTGATTCTCTCTGCAAATGTTAGCTCTCTTGTGATATAATATGCATCGCTAGAAAGCTTATGACTTTGGGTTTGATATGATACATTTTGTGTGATTGAAAATATGAGCAACACCCCAGACAGTTGCACAAGTTTGCAGTGAAAATATAAAAAAAAATTCAAAATATTTTGTGGCAAAAAGTTAGCTTAGGAAATGAGGAATTTGTGTAAAGTTTCGTTGCAATAGGCCAGCAGGAAATATTGTTTTAAATTTTTAAAATTTGATATTGAATTGGGCGCGCACGCGCTGTGCACATTGTTCAAAAATGCCATAAAAGGCTTGCCATTGCCGTAAACCAATGAAATTCACGCTTCTGATGGATTACAGCATCCGAAATCGATGGCGGCCGAACCGCGAAAATATATTGAAAAAGGAAGAAAATATCGGACTTCAAACAATTGATTATGGGCAAGTTTTCGGAAAATACATGTTCTTGTGTTTTAGAAGGGAAATAAATTGCCCGCATTCAATTGCATTTTGCAAACAAGCGAAATTAACCTTGTAGAAAAGTCTTGAAATGCTGAATCAAACGGTGCAATGATTTTTAGTGTGAATTGCATGGATTGAACCAGAGATATGACTTCGGAAAGGTTGACCGGTTTTTACAGATCGATATTTACTCAACCCCAATAAATAAGTTTAGGAAAGGAACTATAAATTCTGGTACACCTCTAGTTTCAGAGTGCAAAAAATATTTTTCAATAACACTAAACCATTGAAGTCTGTTCTTGAATGAGTGGCCTTGTGCTAGACATGCAGAGTAAAATAATCTGGAATTAGACAGCGTAAAATAATTAAACAGGGTGCATTATGATGAGTTAACTAGACACATGGGCTGATTGGGTGATTAACTCATTGAATTCGAGTGCTTATAACAAAGGTGACTTTGAGAGAGTATTACTATGAACGGACACTAGAGATTGAAATGATTTGGAAAAAGGAAAGTATTATTATGAACGAATTAGACGCAACAAGGCCGTAGCAACTGGGGGGGGGGCTGCAGCCCTCCCTTCAATAATTTGCTAATAATCATTCTTTTTTCAAAATCATGCAGACATTTATCATCTGAATAATATCCCTTTAAAATACTGATAATTGATTAATTTTAAGCGGCTACAATATCCATGACAAACTGCAAAGAATGAAGATATTAACCACACTTTCCTGCAACGTATCCAATATATAGTTAATTAAATACGCCTTCGCCCATTTAGTACTACTAAATTGTAAATTTCGACATACTAAAACGCTGTTTTCTGACCATCAGAATTCTGTCAAATCTTCCCCAAAGTCCAGGAATGGCATTTCAGAGACTTTAGATTTAAAAATTTCCTCGGGTCTTCGGCCCTCGCTCTCAGCCCCCGCAATAAAAAAGAGCTTCCTATACGGCACTGCGCAAAACATTTTGATGTTGCTAACTCTTTTTACAATGTATCAAGATAAAGGTGAATTTGAACGTGTTAAAGTTGTTTGTTTTCGCGAGAACCTATGTATGTATATGCTGATGATAGTGAACTAAATTGTTAGAAGATTCTTTTGCCGTAATAGTTATTTAAATGACTGAAAGAGCGACAACATTCTGTTGTTGCCTAAACATACAAAATCTACAATCTTGGAGAAAATATCCGTAGAATATTTGAAAGGTATAATTATCCAAATTTAAAGACATGTTATGAAAATCCTGAACTGCCCCACCCCCCTCTTACATAGAACAAAGTTGGGTCAGATAAAGTAAATTTACAACACTTATCATGTAATTATCAACATTGTAAAAGGAGGGGGGGGGGCTAAGTTTGAAAATTTACAAAATCTGCGAATTTGTTTGTCCAGGATTGTCTCTAGACTTGAGGGATGAAAAAAATGTTTTGGACTAATAGAATTTTGCATTCAATTCTATTTTTATTCGAGTCAAGCGGTACAAACGTAATCAGAAACTAGAAAGAGACCAAAAATAAACTTTCTCGGTGAGGGTGGGGCAGCCGATAATAGGATTTTAGGGAATATGCACACATTACTCCCAGAGTCTGGGTTATCTGGCCATGTTATACAGTACATGTTAGCACGAATTATAGCAGGTCAACCTTCCCTGTTTTGCTTTGGAGATTCCTTTAATTTTATCGAATAAGGGTAAGTAGCCATAACTTAAACAAAAAAAAGAGAATATAATGTCTAGAACATTTTTGCTTGTCCTCTTTGTATTAGTCTCGTATCCATATGGCGGCCCTCAACGATGGCTCTGCGCATGGGCGTACCGGAAGGAAAAGATTAGGGGGGCGGAAAGAAATTTGCCTGACTTTTCGGGATTGTGCCCGACTAGTAGTACCAAAAATTTTTTTCCGGAAAAATTATTTTGACGACCTCCTCTCCCCCCCCCGTCACCAAAAAAATTTCGGTCAGTGTACCATTTTAGGGGTCAAAAATTTTTCCGGACATACCAAAATTTTTAGGAACATCATACAAGTTTTCCAAACAACACATAATTTACCACAAAATCAACTGAATTTCAGACTAAATTGACAGAATTTGTCCCATTTATTTTTATTACAAACCAAAATTGCCCGACTGTTGATCGAAAATTGCCCGACTGCTCAACAAACTGGGGGGGCTACCCCCGCCCGGTACGCCTATGGCTCTGCATACGAGATTGCTTTGTATTTAAAATCCGGACAGATTGCTTGCAAATTGGGCGATTCTACTTCAAAATGAAATAGGAAGAAATATGGTACGTTATGTTTCTGTCAGGCAATTTCATCAAGATCTGGCAAACTTTTGTCCGCCTCCCCTTCCAAATTAATCCTATCGATATAGTAAAGAGTTATTTCAACAAAATTTGGAGTGAGTAAAAGGTTGAATAAACAAATCACAAAAATATTGCCGACTGAAAATCTGTGTCCTGATTATTTTCGGATTTGTCAGGAAGCTTGTGCAATGTTCTACAGTCTAAAGTTCCATGTTGTCTGCACATGTACTTTCTTTAGAGACACCATTTGCCCAGTTATCAAACTCATGCCAGAGAAGTGGTAAAGGACACCTGTGACAACCGAACGGTATTGAGGTTGGCTAAAAAAGATTTTGACTTTTTAATGGTTGGATCAGCAAAATTTTTATCAAGAAACACATCTCTCTTTGGTGACACCAGCATAAATAATGCCACAAATTATAAAGCAAAACTTGAGCCAATCTCGTTCCCCGAGCATGCCCGTTCGCAGGTTAAGGGTGGGCATAGCACCCTTAACCTGCGAACGGGCATGCTCGGGGAACGAGATTGAACTTGAGCCCGCAAATTCCGATCGTGTTTGGCAATAATTTTTTTCAATTTTCCCTTCAAATTTTCATCGGTTTTCTGTAATTTCCTTCAAAATTTTCTTCAAAATTGTATGTCCTTTACATTTACTTCGTTTTAATTAATTTGGTGAATTTTCCTTCAAAAAGGAAATTTCCTTCAAAAATCTGGGGCTCAGCGGTCTTTCACATACGTTGCCTTATTACACTCTAGCGTTCTGTAGTGTTTTAATATAATATTTCTGGGAATTTGTTTTTGTGTTGGAAATTTTGTCCTTGTATTTAATAAAACTACTGGATATTTTGGAGATATTACTCGTTGTATTGAGTTTACAACGATTCTGCAATCAGGTGACTTGCTTCAGCCGTTTTTTTGTGTAATTTTCTGTCTGTATGAGTGACATTTATAATGATGTTACAATTAGCTGTGATGAGGAGCCCAAGTTGCCTGCTGATACCCTGGCCATTTTAAATTAATTCTATCAAGAACAAAATGAGAATTTGAGGAAAGAAGAACAGGGAGGCATAGGTAAAGACTGGGTAAAGTATTGTTCAATAATAAATAAAGTTGGGTGCATCTGGGCGCATTGCCACTTAAAAGGTTAACATCTTCTAAATTCAAGATTTGAACTATTTAAGCAAGATACCGTAAACCTCCGAATATAAGCCCTTCCCAATATAAGGCCCGCCCATGTATAATGTACATTTGGGAAAAACATGCACAAGTGATTTTTTTAAAGATGATTAAAATTGCACGAGTCCGAAGGACAAGTGTAAATAGACCTTATGCATAATGATGTCACAAGGCTTGATATCTGCGAGGAATGCTGGTCTTAGTAGTCATCGCCCGGGAAAATTTCGATAGTGGCCATTTTGAATTGTTTAATTTTCCCGGACAATGACTACTAAGACCAACATTACTCGCGGGCATCAAGCCTTGTGATGTCATTATGCATAAGGTCTATTTGAAGTCTTTGGACTCACAAGTGCATGTATGTTTTTCCAAATTGCATGAGAAGCCATTCTCTTATTAATAATATACATGAAAACATTATGCAGTCACATGCATAGATCACATGCGTGCGTAGGTCACATGCGAGTTAATTTTAATATATATAATTTTAATAGAAAATCTACTAAAAACGTTTTGTATTATTTTCTGCTAGGAATGGAATTTTCATTGTATTTCATTTTTTGGCACTGTATTTCATTTTTTTGTGGCACTATATTTGTCAAAAATTGCACTCAGTGATTTTAGGGACCGTTCGTTAATTAAGGACCGGGGGGGCTGGAGGAAAATTAGGGGGGGTTGCCAAAACAATTTATGGTTAGAAGGGGGGGGGCTTTAAAGTGTTTTCAGCATGAAAGGGGGGGTTGCCAAAAATTTTTGTGGTAATTATTAATATTTTAGGTTGACCAGTTTCAAATATTAAGCCTTCACAACCAAAACCATTTTATGAAATGGTTTGCAATTTTAACAGTTTTAAAACTTTTGTTATGTTTGTGGTGAAGAAATTGGAAGCGTTGCTTATGTTGGTGGAGAAATTTTGAATATATATGCTTATGTTAGTCTGGAAAAATGTTTAGACTATGCTTATGTTCGTCTGGAAAATTCTTTTTACCTCCCCCCCTGTCGACAACATTTTTGGGAAAAATTTGTATGACTTGGTGAAAATAAATAGGGGGGTTGTGAAAATAATTGCCGGTTAGAAGGGAGGGTCATGAAAAAATTAACACCTTAATGGGGGGGGGGGTGTCGTGGAAAACTTGCACCGTTTCTGCTCTTTTTCCTCCAGCCCACCCTGACGTATAATTAATGAACGGTCCCTTAGCCAATCAGATTTTAGAAATTTTTTCATGTATATTATTAGGTCCAGAACAATGTGCGAATTGTTAGTGTGCTTGAAAAGTCAAGTTCTGCAGCAGCAGCTTATATTTTGTAGAGTTTTTTGTAGATAGAAATTTTGAGTCAGCAGACTTTCCAACCTCTGAGTCCTCAAAACCGGGACGCTTCCCAATTTTCCCATCCCACTTAAATAAATGCCTCCCTTGAATAAACGCCTCCCTCGAAATAAATGCCGCGCTTTTCTCATTGATGTGGTGTCTATTTGGGTTTGTGTTGTTAATTGGCTGAGTTGAGTTTGAATTAACCCATTAAGCGCCAGCGCTCTCCCCTTGACGAGTAAAATCGTCTGGCATTAGACAGAGTAAAATACTAAAGTAGGGTGCATCAGGGTGCAATGCGACTCAATGGGTTAACTAGACACATGGGCAGATAGGCCAGTTAACCCATTAAGCGCCAGCGCTCTCCCCTTGACGAGTAAAATCGTCTGGCGTTAGACAGAGTAAAATACTAAAGTAGGGTGCATCAGGGTGCAATGCGACTCAATGGGTTAAACAATAAATTCACAGTGGATGCTACAAAAACTAGTTTTATTACACTAACGTTGAAACCCATAAGTAATATAACATCTTCTCAACAAGCTTTAATTTCATTGAAGTCCTGTACTGGCGAAATTGTTTCGTTTAACTACTAGTCTTTTGAACTGTGATCCTCTCGTATTCAAGAGCCCACGATTATTGCGGCTTCGGTTACGCTGCTTTACTTCATGTAGCCCTGGCAAAATGAACAGGAATTGAAAACGAACTCTAAATTGTCAAAACAACGTATGTCACGAGAATTACAATGATGGGCGACAAACTCGGCAATTGTTTGGGGCAACTAGAAGCTCCCATTTCATTAATTTGTATTGAACCAAGCAAATTTCATTAATATTTGTCACATGAGCCTTATTTAAAGAATCGAAACAACTATTAAAATACCACAAAAACCGGGACAATAATGCACCTATCAATGTTTTCCCCCTGAGGGGGGGGGGGGGTGCGGGCGACCCAAGGGAATTTTGACATTTTTAAAATTTTGTCGTCAAAATCCCCACTGTTGGGCAAGGAATGGCTGTCAAAATTCCCCACTATATTCCTAAGATAACAAGGCACACATATGTTTTCCAATGCGAACATACAGTCTATACTGGTTTAAACTTGGTAAAAATTGAGACACTGTGTATAAAATACCTTTTTCGATGAAACTTGACCGTGCTTCTCCGCCATACTTGTTACCAGGCCTTTTAATGTCAAAACCGCGCAAACTTTCAAGATGGCAGATGTCAAAATTTCCCGACTCTGGGAGTTGATGCATAGGTCAAATTCCCCTCCCTGGTGCTTCACAGTGTGGTCAAAGTCCCCTGGGTCACCCGCACCCTCCCCCCCCCCCCTCAGGGGGAAAACAATGATAGGTGCATGAGAAGAAAACCGGGACAACATAGTACAAACCGGGACAGTCCCGGGTAAACCGGGACGGTTGGAATGTTTGTGAGTGCAAATTGTAAATATGGATTTATTAGACCTGACTAAGAGCAGCTGCAAAAAAATGCAACTATACTGTAGGCCCTCGTACCGCAGCTCTGCGGCCGCAGCTTCGCAACTGGACTCTGTAGCTGAGTTGGTTAAAAATCTTCGTTATTTTTGCCTCAAATTTAATGCAATATATAGCCAGGGTGTTAGCCAGGTGGCCGTCCGACTGTCCTATGGACGGCCGCATCTGAGTTTGGACGGCTAAATTTTAATGGACGGCCTAAGGGAATAATTTCTTTTGAATAGCCACCTACAAGCTTTGCAATATTTCTTGAATACTTTGCGCCATATTTTTGTAAAATGCACCATGTTTTTGATGATTCTCGCGTGAAGTATCAAGGAGAATATTGTGAAACCGCTGTTTAAAAAAACAACAATCGTTTTATCGCTTAAGCGCCACGTTACATGCAGTTATGGTAGTGATCATACCATACGTGTGCTTTTACTAATTTGTTGACGAAAATGTGCATCTAAAAGTAAAAAGGTTCAACGAATAAAACACCACAATTCCTCAACAGCAGAAAATTGCGGCCATGCCCAAAAACATATGACCACGCCCATAAAAATATGTTGCCATGCCCACAAAATTATTTTGGACAGCCACTTTTGAAATCCTGGCTAACACCCTGTATATAGCTTGATTTATATGGACTGCAGATTCGATTCCTGCCAGCGGGCCAATAGTTGTATTTTTTTCAACTGTTCCAGACTACTGTCTTATAATGCCAGTGCTCTCGCCTTGATGAGTAAAATTGTCTGACACTTGATGGATTTATCAAACTATCTGCTTATGTGTCTACTGTATTTCCAATAGAAAATTTGCAGAATGCCAAATCATTAGGTCAACTTTGCCCTTTATAGCAACTCAGTCAATTTTGGTATGATGATCACATTGCAACAACTTTAGCTCAAGAGGTTTTGGAAACTAGCAACTGTGGAAGGTACATTCCTCAGATTTTTCAAGGTTTTTGCTGGGTCTGTTTTCTAAAGAGAAGTTTATCTAAACAACTGGAGGTCTGGAGTGATTGTATCCCCCTCCCCTGTGAATGGTTATATCTCACCCCCTCCCCTAAGAACCCCATATTTGAAACTTTGGCAGGGTTCGTAGTCTCCAAGAAGACCAAACAAATTCAAAGACTTTCAAAGATTTTTTCTGCTTATTTTCAAAGACCTTTGAGAGCAATCAGCTGTCGAAAAATTGCGAGTGTAAGCACCTGCATTTTTACCCAGTAATCAGTCCCGTCAAATCACATTCTAAAATGCGCATTTTCGTCGATATTTGCGAAAATCTTGCTTCAATCAATCTATTTTATTAGCTAGGAAATCGTATAATCAATTCCTCACTAAAGAATTTAAAGACTTTTAAAGACTTTCTTCGCTTTTTCACACAATTTAAAGACTTTTCAAAGACCTCAAAGACCTGCATTCCAATTTAAAGACTTTCAAGGATTTCAAAGACCGCTACGAACCCTGTTGGTAGACACACTGTGGCTATTTATAGGATAGTAAGTTGTTTTATATATAAATATATATTTATTTGATTCGTCAAATAATTGCTAGAAAATTGTGGAATAATTTTTGCCTGAAATACAATTACTGCGAGGATGCAGGAAATGGCATTCAGGTCTTCAAATTGCAAAACTTCTACGGGCGAGAATGCTCTGTAGCATTGCACCCCCTCTGGAAAACCTCCACACCCTCTAGCAAATGAGACCAGATCCACCCTGTATTATGGAGTGGTGATTATTTATGGCCTGGGGTGGTATCGAAGGACAAAGGGAAAAGAGTTGGGTAAACAAAATTTTGAGTGAGTAAAAGGTTGGGTAAATTGAAAAACAAAACAACTCAAGGGTTGGGTAATAAAAATTTATCGCCATTTCCACCAACGATCAACAAGTTATCATCAAGTAATTGTGTGCTGTGATGCTGTCTTGGTTCTGGCATTCTTGATAAGGTCTTCACAGTATATGGAGGAACAACCTCAACTTCATAAATACAGTCAGTTGCAGCACTTGAATTTCGACTATGACCACCAGTGACTATCAAGTGATCATTATACAGCACACTGCTGTGACCTATCAACTTGGTAGGTAGTTTAACAGGACAGCGACTCCAGTGTATTGAGTGATCAGGGTTTGGATTGATATTCATTCGAATCATATCATCGACATCATCATAACAGACGTGCCAAGGTTCCCGCATTTCGCGTGAAAGTTACGCATTCTGCTTTTGTTCCCGCTGTCCCGCACGCATAACTAAAACACGGACGTTTTGCCGAACGGACATTTTGCCGAACGGACATTTTGCCGAACGGACATTTTGCCGATCGGACAGTTTGCCGAAAAGACAACTTGCCGAAAATAGAGATGTTATTACGTCAAAATGTTTGGGACTGTGACTCGTTTCTCAACAGTGTAATTATCAACCATTGAGTAAAATAACCATTATATGGTCATTAGCAGTGCATATAATGGTCGTTAGCGGTGCGTAACTATATTGACTATTGGTAGCTTGTTTGTGCAGCGGATGACTCATTTGCTAGGAACGTGTTTTGACGTCAGGTCGTAAACAAACAAGACTTTAGTGCATATAAAGACAACGACGTAAGCGAATTTCACTTCGAGAATCATGGAATACATTCACAGTTCTCGGGGAAATCGCATTCATGAATAGTACAATACAGTATGGATGATTTTGAATGATGTTATTCTTTTATATATCATTAAATTTCGGTTAAACTTAATTTGAAAGAATATAAAACGAAACTATACTTCACTATCGACAATGACTTTAATTTAATTAATCACAGAAACTTTGACCATAAACGAACCTTTAAAGTTCAGAAGATATCTCTATTTTCGGCAAAATGTCCGTTCGTTCGGCAACCTGTCCGTTCGGCAAAATGTTTGTTCGGCAAAACGTCCGTCGGCAAAGTGTCCGTTCGGCAAAATGTCTTTCGGCAAACTGTCTTTCGGCAAACTGTCTTTCGGCAAAATGTCTTTCGGCAAACTGTCTTTCGGCAAAATGTCCGGCCACCCTTAAAGTTACGCATTTTTACCATTATATGACGCTATCCCACTTTTCGTACAATAACTCATTGACAACGCTTTGTGCAAACGTAGAATTAGAGTTAACAACGTTAGAATCAGCGTCAGACGCATCGTGGCCTGCGGTACATGGCTAAATACGCTTTCTGACGATCTGAAGACTCCAAATTTCCAAAATTTTCTCGATTTTCCTAGTCACATTAAACTGTAAGTAACACTGTCATATTGATCAGTAGTTATTTTAGTTATCTTCATTGTTAGCTAGGCAGTACTAAAACATTGAAATCTTGGATAGGAAAGACTCTAAAAATGCTATAATTTCCAACGGTCTAGAGAATTCAAATTTTCAAATTTTTTTGCTCTGCGCCAACCATGATGATGGCGCCTCGTGGGCGACGCAAAATCAGGTGAATTGAAACAATTCAGGCGGTAAATCTATCCTCCCCCCTCCCCCCAAAGGCAAAGTCATCGCAACGGCCCTGGTCACGCATTCTTATCTTCCGACCTTGGCAGGTCTGTCATAAAAGCAACGAGCAGCAATTATCATATGATTGTTATAAACAAATGAAGTCGCTCCAAGATGCACCCCGGGCAGAGATTGTAATGGCGACCATGTTTTTTGACGCCAGTTAAACATCTCTACAGACAAAGTTCCACAACCTCCAGCAACAATTATATTTTCCTTGTCACCACTTTCTGTATTTCTTGTGCTCTCTTTCTTAATGTCCTCTATATAAGACGCCATATTTCACGCCGTTCTTGTTTGGTAATCGCAAAGCAAGTTCTGTGTTGATGTTAGTTGCTCTGTGGTATAAACCTCGCTATATACAGACTGAATATAGATACAGTGTTCGTTCTTCGAGAAAGTCGTGTTAGTATTTGCTTGAAATCTTTTCCAAAATGATCATAGGAATTTGCTGGCATGAAATAGAATATTGAATGTC